CAAGGTTCCTGGGGACGTATATGAGTTCTCCTTCACCATCAATGGCAATCCCATGACTCACCAGTTCCTTGCAGCGAACATCTCGTACCACTTGATTCTCGGCAAGGACTGGCTCAACAAGCACAATCCCCAGATCGACTGGCCCACCGACACTCTGACCTTCGCTGACGGCACGGCCTGGCAGGGTCGAGAGGCCCTCGACATCATCTCAGCGAACTCCTTCAGGCGTGCCATTCGCAAACACGGCACACAATGGGGAATGTTGATGGCAATGGATCCTACACTCAAGCACACCACCGCCGACTCGAACGCAGCCGACCGTGAAGTCCTCGAGAAACTCGATCCCGCAGTCCGTGCCATCCTCAACCGGTATCCCACGGTGTTCCAGCCTTTTGACGGCCTGCCCCCGGAGCGAGAGACTGACCATCGCATTGAACTTGCGGACCCCAAGGCGTCGCCTCCCTTCAGGCAGATCTACCCCATGGCTGAGGACGAATTGGCCGAACTTCGAAAGGAACTCGACTTCCAACTCAAGCATGGTCGCATCCGAAATTCAACCTCCCTGTTCGGCGCTCCCATCTTCTACATCAAACAGAAGGACAAATATCGATTAGTACTCGACTACCGCGCCCTCAACAAGAACACAATAAAGAATCGGACTGCCTTGCCGAACATACCTGAGATACTTGACCGCCTGCGACGCGCCAAGTACTTCACTGCCATAGACCTCGCATCGGGATACCACCAGATACGCGTTTCCTGCTCCTGACGTTCACAAGACTGCCTTCCGGACAAAATACGGCCACTTTGAATGGGTCGTCATGCCACTCGGCCTCTCAAACGCGCCGGCAACCTTCCAATCTACCATGAACAATATCTTTCGCGATTGTATCGACGAATTTCTGACAGTCTACCTTGACGATCTTCTCGTCTTCTCTGAAACCCTCGAAGACCATCTGCATCATCTGGACCTCGTCCTCACGCGACTACGTGAAAACGAGTTCCACTGCCGGTTACACAAGTGTTCGTTCCTCCAGACTGAGTTAAAGTATCTTGGCTACCTCGTCTCTCAAGGAACAGTGCAAGTCCTGCCTTCCCGAGTGTCCGCAATTCTTGAGTTCGAGCCGCCAAAGTCCTGGCACGACCTCCGCAGTTTCCTTGGGCTTGCAAACACCATCCAGCGTTTCGTCCCTCGACAAGCAGAGACCCTCGCTCCACTCTCCAATCTCCTTCGCCAAGGAGAAAAGATCTCAAAGTCGACCCCATTCATCTGGAACAACGAGCTCCAAGCTGCCTTCGAACAAGCAAAGCAAGTGCTTGCGCATCCATCGTCACTCTCCATGTTCGACCCATCACGACCCTGTCCACTTATACACCGACTGGTCCAAGTCCGCCATCGGATCGTACGTTGCCCAGCCCTGATGATGACGGCCTAGAACGACCAATAGCATTCGCATCCCGTAAATGCAACTCTGCTGAATCTCTCTACCACCCCTACCAAGGCGAAATCCTCGCATTGGTAGAGGCCCTGCGACAGCATCGTCAGTACTTCGTCGGACGAGATGTCAAAGTCTTCACCGACCATAGTTCCCTTCGCCATATCCTGGATCAGCCCAAGCTCCGCCCAGTCCATCATCGCTGGATTGCTGACATCCTCGCAGTTGACTTCCAGATCCGATGGATCGACGGGAAGTGGAACAACATCGCTGATGTCCTCTCTCGTCGCTCACATTCTCTAGAGGCCTCGACCCAGACGGACTCGGATCCTCTTCCCGAGCTCAACGCCATGGTTGTTGTCACCCCAGACCTCCTTGCCGAAGTCAAGGACGCCCTCGCCACCGATAACGAGGCCCAGGAGATTCTCGCTCGCCTCCAGGACGGAGCTGTCCCTAAGTCGCTTCGAACCACCTTGCGCCGCTACTTCATACGAGACGGCATTCTCTACTATGGCGCGGAAAACGTTCGACTCTACTTGCCCACGGCACTCCGGCCCAGATTCCTCGCCCTTGCGCACTCCTCACGTCCTGCGCTCCACACAGGGTGGGAGAAGACCGCCGAACGCCTCTACCGCTCCTTCCACTGGCCAAACCTGCACAAGGATGTAAAAACTTTTGTCAGGCGATGTGACCTCTGCCAACGAAACAAATTCTCTCGTCAACCCCCTTACGGCCTCCTTGAGCCTCACTCGGTCCCGCCTTCTCCCTGGCACACAGTCTCCCTCGACTTCATTGGCCCGCTTCCACTCACTAGTTCAGGTGTCGACTCCATCACTGTCTTCGTCGACTACTTGACCAAGCGTGTACGAATCGCCCCCTCACGAGTGACAGATACAGCAGCCGATGTCGCTAAGTGTTTTGAACTTCACGTCTGGCGAAACCACGGCCTGCCACGACGCTTGATTAGTGACAGAGACCCTCGCTTCATAGCAGAATTCTGGCGCTCACTCACTCGCAGTCTCGGCATCGAGCAGAACCTCTCTACCTCGTTCCATCCTCAGACAGATGGACACACTGAGATTCGCAACGCCTGGATAGCCGCCGCACTCCGCAACTTCGTGAACTGGGAGCACAACGATTGGGATCAGTATCTACACATCGTGGAATATGGCATCAACGACAGCATTAACTCCTCAACTGGCGCCTCACCCTTCCTACTGGACACTGGCCGACACCCGCTCTCTGTGCTAGACCTTCCTCTGCCTGACGTCCCAGCACCAGCGCATGATGCCCTTTATGCCCGTCTCGCGGTCGCCAAGGACTTCATTCGCCGTGCTCAAGACAACCAAGCAGCCCACGCAAATGCTCACCGACGGCCAGCACCATTCAAGGTTGGCGACCTTGTACTTGTCTCAGCTCAAGACTTCAACCCCCGGAACGCACCAGTTGCCAATGACAAGCTTGGTCCCATCTATCATGGGCCCTTCCGCATTGTCGACACACGAGGCATCTCTTTCCTCCTAGAGCTACCACCGGACTCAGGCGCACACCCGGTGTTTCACCCCTCCAAGCTCCGACCATACTACTGGGACCCACACGGACCAAACCCCCTGATGGAAACCCCCCAAGAGGCCCGCCGTGTCGCCCAAGTGCTTGGTCGCCGCCTCTTCAGACGACGAGAACAGGTCCTGGTCTCTTGGTCGCACCACTCACCTTCGTTTAACACATGGCTTGACCTGACGCCCGACCTGCACTACCGCCTCCGCCTCGCCGACTTGCTATGACGTGCGTCCGTGCCTCCTTCGCCTTGGCGTTGTCTTCCCCTTAATTTTCTCCTTCCCCTTTCCTGCTTCCACCGATTCCTCCCCCCTTTTTGGCTTATCGATGACCGCTTCCCAATTTTTCCCTTCCGTCCCTGACTTCATCGCTTCGCCTGTGGCTCTGCTCTTGCAGGGGGGTATGTGACGGAATGTCCCTGTCCAACTGCTTTTTCCATTCTTCTGGTCCTCCCGGATATTCCATTCTTCCCTCACGGGTAAATCTCTTTCCCCACTTCGGGTATTCTAGTTTTCCCGCTCCGATCGGACATAAAAGGGCCTTACATCACTCAATACATGACTCAGCTTCCATTACACATTTCTCCTTACACTCACACACCGCTGAAAAAAAATTCCGGTGCACATAGTCAACGACTGCGAGGTGGGACGTGGGCAGTTTTTTTTTTTTCTGTCTTCATTCCATTGCCCTGTCGGAAGAGGCTCGTCCGGTGGGCCCTGTCGCTTTCCCGTGCCCCCCTGGAGCGTCGGCTCTTTTGCCCCTCCTGTTTTTTCCGCTTTTGGCTGCGAGAGCGCGAACGGTGGGGACAGAGGCTGAGCGTTGGTTCGTTGATGACTTGTTGGTGGGGGCTTCAATTTTCAAAAAAAAAAAAAAAAAAAAGAAAAAAATAGAAAAAAAAGGAGGAATGTCCGCCCTTGTGTTTGTCGTGAACCGGAGTATTTCGATTTGGGTTGGATTAACGGTTTAAAGCGGCGAACCGCCGAGCCTTTGGTGTCATTTCTACCTCTGTAACTACGCGAGAATCAAATTCACTATTGTCCTCATTTGCAGAGGCTGCGCACGCCCTTTGCATCAAAGAAAGGCTGAGCAGCTTCTTCTTTTTTGTGGCTGCCAATTAACTTTTCTTATGGGGTTATTTCAATGGTGATCTTGGAAAGCTTGGAACACTGGGTGTCTGGCCCACCCCCCACCTTTAGTTTTTTTTTCCCCTCCTAAACGGCTACCGCGCAATGGATGCGTTCCCAGAGTCTTGTTCGGCCTAAGTGTCAGCGGATTTCGTCTCCTGCCTTTCCAAGCTTTATCTTGGATATCAGCAGTTTGGCACACCGAAGAATGCAAGAACCAGTTCCGAGCAGACATATGGTGGTAGCAAGCCGCAAAGTAATGCGCTCCAGTCGAATATCTGCAAAGGAAGTGGAAAGGGGATGAGCAGCAAGGTACCTCACAAGATTGCTTCAAATGCCTCAATGCCACGCCTTTGGTACCTGATCTGGTCCGCGCCATCGGGTCGCCTGCCGGCAGCCAATCGCGGCGCCGGCACAGACCCTTTCAAACGCTGGACCGCGTTCTTGGCTCGTCCACGAGCGCCGACCAGCCCGCCCCACGCAGGCTCTCGATCGCGAGAAAGTGGCCGAGGAAAGCGGGTGTTGCAGAAGTTCCGGTGGGAGAAACCAGAGGTCATCTGTGGAGGAGGCAGAAGGCCCTGCGTGGCTCCTGCAGAACTTGGCTGCGGTTGCCGTTTGCCGTTTGTGGAAATGGTGGAGCGTGCTGCTGTCTTGTTTTCCCTGTGGACAGGTGATCGATTGGTCCGGCGACAGATACGCATCCAAGGTAGTGGCAAGGGTATTGCAGCCCAAGCGGGGATATTACTCCGGTGCACTGTTCTTTTCTAATTTCCTTTGTGCTAAAGAATTCTCTTGCGAGGATTGTTGGGCCGCCTTCGCGTTAATCGGCCACAACTCTTCTTATAAAAGACATTATAAGTTACCGTAAAGAAAATTATTTCAGGCCTTCTTAGCTCAGCTGGCAGAGCGTATCCCTCGTAACCCTGTGCAAGGGTGCCTGCGAGGATAAGGTCGTCGGTTCGATTCCGGCAGAAGGCAAAATACCGTCTGATTTCCTGATCTATTTACCTGTGAATGTGTTCAACGTGCGTGAGGTGCTTCAAAACCTGAAGGAAACGGAGGTACTTTGATCAAGTCATGCCTCTATTGCAGATCTGAGATGGTCATCACAAAAATCACCACCACCGCGTCCCGGCCCTTTGAACCCGCATCACTTTCCGAGCACCAGATCCCTGATCTCCTGCGCCGCCTCACCGTCGACAAAGTCCGCCGCGGTCTCGAGCTTCTCGAGCGACCAGCCCTCGACATCGACGAAGCGCACTGCGTCGCCTCCCTCCTCCTGCTCGAGCTTCCTCCGCGCGGCCACCGCGTCGGTCCAAAGCCGCACGCAGCTCGCCTGGATCTCGGCCAGCGCCTTCTCGCTCTGCGCCGCGTAGTCGTCGCCGCCGTCGAGGCCGAGAAAGCGGGCGAGGAGCGCACGCTGCTTTGCGAGGAGGGCGGCCGCTGATGCTGCGGCGGCGCGGGGGTCGCGCGGGTGGAGGACGGCGACGGTGACGGAGCGGACGGCGAGGCGGGAGCGTGCGGCGCGGACGAAAGGGGCGGATCCGGGTGAGGAAGTAGGGATCCTCGATCAGGACTTTGGGGGAAAGCGCATGCGGCTGCTGCGGTTGTTTTTGTTTTTGGTTGTCAGAGGGTGGGGAGGGGAGCGGCGGGGCGACGGATTCGGAGAGGGCGGATAGGAGGCAGGTGTAGTCGTCGGTGAGGGCGTCGTCCGAGGAGTCGGAGAGCGCGGCGGGCGCGGCGTCACCGGGAGGTGCAGGGAGCAAGCCGAGCTCGAATAGTTCGTGGAGACCGCAGTCGAGCGAGGCGCTGTGGAAAGGAGAGGGCGGGCGGTTACTTATTCGCGATCGCCAAAAAAAAAAAAGGCAAGAAGGAAAGCGAAGGCAAAGACTGACGAGTAGCCTGCGCGGAAAACGTCTGGCAGGAACAGGGCGGCCTCGGTCGGACTGTTCAAGCCGAGGCGACGCGCGATGCGCCACGCCCGCCAGAACGTTTTGCGCCAGGGGTCCTTCTTCTTCTCGTCCTTGCTGTCAAAGGCCAGGTCCTGCGGCGACACTGCCGAGACGCGTGGATCTCGCGCGAGAACTGTGCTCCGGGAGGGGGGGGGGGTAAAAGAAAGGGTAAGATCGCGGGGGGGTAGGTGGGGGTGCGGGAGAGAAATGGCGACACTCAACTGTCCCGCACAAACCAGGCGCCTGCACCGGGCAGGGCGACGACGACCACAATGTCCCTGCCCTTCCACGCGCGGCTGAGCGCGCCCGATTCCCTAGCGTCGGCGGCGCGCTCGACAGCGCGCGCGCGCCTGGCGATCTCGAGCGCGGCGACCTCGAGCGCGAGCCACTTCCTCAGGCCAGGGGGTCCTCCCGGATGGTCCCAGGCGCAGGCGGTGAGTCTGCGGACGTTGGCGGCGACGCGGGTGTTGGCTGCGGCCTCGGCGGCACGGTCGGCGGTGCGATCGCCGGTGGGGACGACGTCGGAGAGGGTGTCGAGGCGGGAGCGGCCGAGGCCGCGGGCGAGGAGGAGCTCGGTCGGGGGAGGGATCGGGCCGGGGGGTACGTTGAGGAGCTCGTGAAGGATCGAGTTGTTGAAGAGGGTGTGGAGGAGGGAGAGAAGGAAGGGCGCGCTGGTGGGGGGGTTGTGGTCGCGATCGTCGGCGCGGGCGGTGAGGAACGGCGCAAAGCGGACGGCTGATGTGGATGCCGTCCACGATCTGGAGGATCGCAGGACGTACGAAGGTGCGATGATGAGCAGGAAGATTGCGGCGAGGGCAACGTAGAGGCCGGTCGAGACGTCGTTCGCAGGGACGGCGGCGGCGTCGGCGGCGCCCACGACCATCGTCGCGCGTGAGGCAATCGTTTTTGTTGGACGTGATCTTGACGCGGCGGCACCTCATATGCCGCGCTTCGGGACCGATCTGTACGCCCTCGCCGACGACCCTGACGCCGAATTCCAGCGCGCCGTCGCCTTCCTTCGCGCACACGCATCGTCGGGCGATCTCAAAGATCATTCATCCATTTCCGGCCCCGGCCTGCCGGCCGGGATTTCACCGGGTGGGGATCGCCGTCGGACGCGGCCCTCAACCCTCCAAAGGACTCTGGTGGCAGCTATCCCACACCCTTGGCAGTGAGGCCGTAGCACGACGGAGCGGCCACCCCTGGCCATGCAGACTCCGTCAAGTCAACCGACACGTTGTGGATACCCTGCGACAGCTTTGGTGGCGTCTTCACCGGTCGCAGCCCGGACCAGGACGGCAATGAAGTCGCTCCAGACCCGCCGATCCACCTGTTCATGGACTTCAACGACGGTGAGCAGCTCGCCCAGCTTCCGTCATCCAGCGCCGACATAATCGCGATCGATTGGTCGACCTGGCGGTACATGAAGCCGCTGGAGCCGGTTCGTGGCGGCGCGGGGGACGAGAGAGCCACGGTCGCGGACGAGTGGAAGCGGATCCTGCGGCCGGGCGGCCTGCTCGCGTTCGAGTGCAGCGTGTCCAGCATCCTCTGCGTGCCCGAGACCGCGACGCCGCCAGGGCTACCGTTTGTAACCGTCGGAACTGAGTCGGTGACGTGGGAGATGTCAAACCCGTCGCACCTCACGGTGTCCGCGTCGGGGGCCGCATCGCGTCTTCTGGCAAACGGCGAGGGAGGTTACAGCTTCAGTCCGACCCGCGTGATCATCCCCGCCGCACGCCCTGAGGGCCAGCCAACACCCGCAGGGACTCGGGTCAGACCAAACGCCATGGTCCGACCGAGAGCGAACGACTTCAAGGCCGAGTACGCAAGGCTGGGCCAGCTCTACCTGGGTGTCGTGGAAGAGCTAACGGTGATCCTTTTTGAAAAGAGACTGAGCTGGTCATCTGCCAGAGCAGTGGACTCCAGCCAGCAGCAGTTCCCTCTTGCCACAAGAGGCACAATCGACCGGTGGTTTCATGTATGCAAGTAGTCTTCAACTGGAGCATGAAAGGCAAGACTTTTTCCGCATTTTTGACTGGGACGATGTAGATACACGCACGAAGGCGTGCCTTTGAAAGAGAGGATGATGCGGTTCGAGCGTCAATACTTCTTTGTGCACTGAAAATGAGAAGTGGGAACACTAATAAATAATATTGCCCAACAACCACCAGCCGCCTCCCGATTTGACTCAGAATTCGCCCGCCGTTCGCGGAAGTGAGTTGCGTGAAATAAAAGCTGTAAATGAAGTCCTATTTGCGGGGTGGGCCAACAAGGGCGTAAGCGCATTCCGCGCAGCGCCTTCTCCTGCCGTCACTTTTTGTTGGATCTTCAGTCCACCTTGTGACGGCACTGTCATTTCACTTCAGCCGTAAGCGCCTAGGTTGGCTTCCAGTGGAGTTTCTGCTGAATGGAAGCTGTCACTCGCACTTACACCAGGTAGTTGACCGACGATTGGCGCGCACAATCAATTTTTTCTCTATATGGTGAAAGCCGTTGACCGGGTCTGCAGCAGGAGCAGAGGAATCCTAGCGTCAACAGACCCGTTAGGCGGACTTCCCTCCCTTCTTCGACTTCTTCTTTTTCTTCTTTGCTAACCTTACCCCAATTTTCTCTCTCTCGCTCTGTCTCGGTACCTCACTCACCCACTCTCTCTCAATAAATGTTTTTGACGGGCTCCTTTTCGCATTCTTCGTCCATAATTTGTGATCGAATTCGGTATCCACTCTCAATTCTTCGCCGACGCACTTTCAAAAAAATGCTCTTGCAATAGTCTTCTCCACACTCATTCCATAGTCAACCCCTCTTCGCGTCAACCCCTCTTCGCCACCTGCCAAAGCTGTCAAACCCGCGCGGGGCCTCATTCCTCACGCGACAATGTAGTAGTCGAAAAGAAATAATAAGGAGAAGTGGGAGGTTTTTCTTCTCCTTCTTCTTCATTTTTTTTTTTTAATAATTTTTCCCTGTTTGCCTTAATTGCGCGCGCGAAGGATCGGCGCCCGATCGGGTTATAAATATGGACGAAAGCGATCGCCGCGCGCGCTAGCCATCAAAGCAAGAACCGCCGATAGTTACAGAAGGAAACGAACAACCCGATTACCCTTTGTCACCCCACCTGGAATACACGGTCACTCGCTCACTCTTCCCCCCATCTCGCCTTAGAAGTCGAAAAGAAGAAGAACCTCAAAAGTGAAGTCGACGCGAAACCAGTCGTGTCGTGTTTCTGCTAGAAAGAACTTGCGACCGAGAAATAAAACCCCTCCACCCCATCACTCTTTCCCGCCACCCACTCTCTTCCGTCCACAAAAAAAAACACCCGACCCCCTCTCTCTGAAAGCCCCACGTAGTGTTTCTCGACACACACAACCCGAAAGAGAACAAGAAAAAAAGACCCCCCAAAAAAAAAACTCGTTCCCAGCCATGAAGCAACCAGGCGCAATCGTCGAGGCAAAGTTCAACCAGAGCGAGTCCGTCCAGCGGAGCCGCGCCATCACCGAGGCCAAGCTCAAGGGCGCGTTCGCGCTGACCAAGCTCGCTGATGAGGAGGGTGAGTGGGTGCTCGTTGGCGTCTATTCACTTTGCGCGACTGGATCACACTCGCTGTCCCTTCGCGCAAAGCGTCCCAGCCAATACTGGACTGCGAAACGCGCTCATGAGCCACACGTAAACCTTTTGCTCACCCACGTCCTACCCTTCCCTCCCCCTCGCTTTGCCCCACCCCGCGACAGTCACGATGCTCAGCGCGAACCTCGAAGAGACGCGCCAGCAGCTGCGCACCCAGCTCTTTGAGCAGCGAGCGCAGGACACGCGCGTGGAAGTCGAGAACGCGGACTTTCGCAAGAACTTTGACCGCAAGCACCAGCTGTCGGACCTGGTGGACCGTCTGGGGATCATGAAAAAGTTTTTGCGGTTCCAGGAGGAGTCGCGGGAGAGGGACCAGGCGTTCAAGGGGATTATTAGGAACAAGCGGATTGCGTTTAGGTTGAGGCTAGCGAGGCTGGAGCAGCGGCAGGTGTCGGAGAGGTAAGG